TATATATATATATATATATATATATTTCATTGCAAGAGGATACATTTACTTGCCAGAGAGAGAGAGAGACCACCCCCAGGGCATAATCATGCCACAATTCTTTTTCTTCCTTTCCTTAATTCTGTAAAGATTTGGGACACCCATGCACACACACCCAGCGTGTCTTTCAAAGTGGCGGGGCCAGGAATCAAATCCCTGTCGGTCATGTGGGATCCAGCAGCCTTCACACATCATTTCACTGCTGTGCTATGGGACCGAACCCCCATGAACTTTTTGAAATTTCCTCATCTAAGAAAACAGTGAGTACTTGTGGGAGTAAAATTATACTTTCTAGAAGGAAAGGTTTATCTACTAGCCCTTCAACTTTAAATGGGATTCACCATATTTTTCTGGTTAATTCCTCTCTTCCAGCCATTTCTACATGTATTTCTTCCCTCCTCCATCCCCCTCCCAGGCAGGTAACTATGTTGTCCATTACATGTCAACAGCAATTCCTTCAGGCAGAAGATCAAAGCAATGATTAGAACCCAATATATCTTGATTTTTCCATGGTGTCTGACAAATGCTTTACCTGGTGCCCTTGAGGACATGATGGGGAAATGAGAATTGGGTCAGAGGACAGGAAGTGGAGTCATAGCTGGATGAGCAACCACAGTCAAAGAATGTTGATTAGTTTTTCTGTGTCAACCCGAAGGAGGTCTCTAGAGGCGCGCCACAGAGCTCTGTCCTTGGTGCTGACCTCGTTGGCATTGTTACCTGTGACTCAGAAGACGACGTACAAGGTGTTCTAAGCAAGATTGCAACAGACACAGAGCTGGGAAGCATAGTTGCCACTACAGATGACAGAATGGAAATAAGAAATTACCTCAACAGGAAGGAACCTAGGGCTGAAACCAACATGATGGAATGGAACAGAGAGAAATGCAAAGTCCTGCATTTAGGTTAAAAATTAATCGCACAAGTACCGGATGAGGTAGACCTGGTTTGGCAGAAGTCCATGTGAAAATGACCTATTTGTTTGTTATTCTGTAAGTTGGCCTTTAGCTCAGCCTGGTCCAACTGTGTTATGTGGTTGATACATGATACACAAAGCAAACCCAATCTTGGCTACATTAAGGGAAGTGAAGCATCTCCGGTCTAGACTACAGCATGGCCTCTGTGCTCAGAACTGGTCAGTCCTGTCTGAAGCACCATGCTCAACCCTGGGTATTAAAGGGTAAGAAGGACAATGAGGGAACCAGTAGATGACATCATGGTTACTTCACTGGACTTTCACATGACTGACCACAGTTTGAGTCCTGGACCTGGTGGCTTGAAACTCATGTCGGGGATGTGGGTGGATGCCCAAGATCCCAAAAGGAGAATGGATAAGGTATTATGGTGTGCCCATCCTCCCTGGGACATGATTTCTCACTTTCTGTCTCTCTGTCTCTCTCTGTCTCTCTGGTGAGTGCACACGCCCTATAGCAAAAAAATCTCTCTAAAAAAGAAGGACAAGGAGAAATTGGAGCATGACCTGAGAATGGCAGCCAGATAGTGCAGGAGGTGAAAGCTGTGCCCACTGGGAAGGCTTGAGGGTGCTGGGACACTTTGGTCGGGAGAAGGGGCAGTTTGAGTGGAACATCAGTGCTGCTTCAAACATGTGATGGGCTGCCCTGTGGGAACTAGAGTAGCCCTCCTCAGTGGATCCCCCTAGACTTGCTATTCCTAACTATGTTCATCTTCTGGGACCCATGCGACAGATTATGTTTACACACTCAAAGCTTTCCCATGACAGCCCCCAGTCTTAGACTCCTCCTCTCTCCAGACTTGCAATCAGTACTCCATTAGTTGTGGTGGCTTGTTAGCCTCCAGCAGGAGTCATGGCCTTCAGTTCCTGCTTTCTCACCTGGCATCCTACAGGGTGAGCAGAGCCTGAGTGGGCTGGGCATTAATAAATGCACACAGCACAGACTTGCTCCTGGACACGTGAGCTCCCCTCTTGTTGACAAGTATGACCTTTCCTCAAGTTGAGATGTGAAAAGTCAAGAACTGAGCAGACACTTTGACCTGGAAGTCAGCAGAGTCAGGCCTTTAGACTGGCCTTGGTTTTAGGCTGTTCTCATTGGAGTAAAGGAGTTCTCCCAGGGAGTCCTGCATGGCTCACTGGCACCCTTCACTGGAGGGGGCACTGGAGCCCCTTTGCCTGTTTCTCTTCTCCATATCTCTGGGGTTTACCTGAGGGAGAGGTGGCAGGATTCCCTTCTCTGCTCTCTCAGCAAAGATCATACGGATCTCTCAGCTATCACTAAGCGATATGGAACATTTAAGGACTAACAGACAGACAAATCTACCTACCTGTTCAAGACCTCATCCTGTTTGTTTGCCAGCGAGGAGTCATCAAGCAAGTTACAGAACCTCTCTCCTCAATGTCCTCATTTTCCCACCCCAAAGGGCACGTGTGCTCACCAGAGAAAGGCAGAGAGAAGGAAAGTGAGAAATCATCCCCCAGAGGGTTGGCCATGCCACAATCCTTTCTCCCCCATTCTCTTCTCTGGATTTTGAGCACGGACACATGTGTCAGCATGATTTCCAAGCCTCCAGGTCCAGGACTTGAACCGTGGCCAGCCATGTGAAAATCCAGTGGCTTAACCACTGTGCCACCTGCTAACCACCAGTTTCCTCATTGGTAAAATAATGATTATCCTCCAAGGAGTCAATGAGATAAGACGCACGAGTTCTGAACACATCGTTGGCCACAGAGTGAGCCTCAATCTTGTCCTAACTGCTGACTCGCCCTTCCTGCTCCGTGGTCACTGGCATCCCGGGGCAGAGCTAAGGTAAAGGTGTGAGTGTGCATGAAGCCAGCACACACAGGAACTCCGCATCTTCTCTCCTAACCAGGAAAGAATCCAAAAGGCAAATGAGTTAAAAGCAACACTAATGGGAAGTGTAACCTTGAGTCTGCACGATTTGGCCGCTTCGGTTTTAGGAAAGATCACTGGCAGTGTGTGTTACAAGCGATCGCCGTTGGCTGTGTGACACCAAGACTGAGAGTCTCTGCTTGTGAGTCTGGTTCTCACAACAGTGTGTGTGTGAGTGTGAGTGTGAGAAAGAGACAGAGAGGGAAAGAATGATACAAATTCCTGGGCTTCACCGTAGGAGATTTCGATTCGGTAGGTCTTAGGGGGTATTGAGCTGCCTGCCATATTTTCTAGAACTTTGAGAAGCCGGCTAGTTCCAGAAAATAGAACTAGGAGTTATTTATGGAATTTAAGCTCCCTGTAAAGGGAAGCTCAATAAAAAGAAGAGTTTTTTAAGGAGTAGGACTATCCATCAGTGGAGCAGACAGGAGCATTGAGCTCTCTGTCATAGGCAGTGCTCACGGAAGGGTCTGCTAGGGAGCCCAGAGGCAAAGCAGGTCGGCTCACCCCGACTGGGGCAAGCACCGGGCCAACTGTTCTCACACCACTGGGCTATCTAAAAGGCTGGTTGGGATGCTGGTTAGATTAGCCTGAGCCCTCAGCCCACTCTGGGGCAGAACTAAGATGCAAAACTAAGTCTTGGACAAGCTTCAATTCCTGTCACTGCTCTCTGAAGTTTGGGCAGCAGAGAGACAGGGAAAGACTGAAGGCCATAGGTTAGTCTCTGTGAGGCCATAATGGATTGCCCTGGAGAGGTTCTGAGGTCCTCTCACAGGTGTCTGCACCCTTAAGAAGGGTACTCTGGATATTGACAACACCCTAGGAACCTGCATTTAGGAGCTGGTGGTGACGCTACTACTGTATGCACTGTGGCACTTGAGCCTGCCCGGTGACAATATATCAATAGTAGGTGGTTATGCGCAGGGGCCATGTGCTCCTATGAAAATACTACACCAGCCATGTGTCACTTAAAGTTTTCACATTAAAAATAGGACAAAGAAACAGATGAAGTTAACTTGAATAACATTTCATCAAACTCAATATGTACCTCTAGTATAGCCCATTTAAAAAAGAAAAAAGTTATTGGGACCAGCAGTTAGTATAATGGCTAAGTCACTGAACTCCCATGTAGTCAACTGTGATTTGAGTCCCGAACCTGGTGGCTTAAACTCACGCCTGGCGTGTGTGCATATGTGCCCAAGATCCCAAGAGGAGAACGGAGGAGAAGGGATTGCGGTGTGGCCATCCCCTCTGGGGAGTGATTTCTCACCTTCTGTCTCTCTTTCTGGCAAGCGCACATGCCATATACCAAAAACCTCTCCAAAAAGAAAAAAAAATAGTTATTTATGGTACCAGCAGGTGGTGCGGTGGTTGGGGAGCTGGACACTCCCACATGGCCGACCATAGTTCAAGTCCTGGACCTGGTGGCTTGCTTTCTCACTTTCCCTCTCTCTGTTTCTCTGTGTCTCTCTCTGTCAAATGAAAATAAATAAATGAATAAATAAAGTGAGGTAGATAATTCTTTAAAAAATAATAATTACTATTTATTTTAATAATATTATTGTTATTATTATTGCTAATTTGCTATAGGGCATGTGTCCCCACCAGAGAGAGACAGAGAGAGTGAGAAGGAAAGCAAGGGCCAGGACACAAACCTCAGTCGACTATGTGGGAGTCCAGTGCCTTAACCACCACACCACCTGCCGGCCCGAATAGTGCCCATTTTAACATGTAATCAGCATAAAAATTACTGTGAGCTATTTCAAATTCTCTCTCTTTTCATACGATGTCTTTGAAGTCGGGTGTATAATTTACACTCACAGCACATCTCAATTCAGATTAGCCAAACTCCAAGGGCTCGGTAACCCTGTCTCGCTGAGGCTCCATTATCAGATGACAGAGTTCTAGACCCTAAACCACCCCGAATACCTTCCTAGCGTTTCTTCTTACTACACATGACCTCAGGCTAGTGACTTGACGCTCTTTCTTCCTAAGGAGTGATGATGAGAGTGTCTGCGTCATAAAGTCGTTATGAGGATTAAATGAGTTAGTACGTATTAAACGTTTAGAAGAGCGGCTGGCATGCAGCAATCACTCAGACACTGTCACACAGGAAGGGCAGGCGCCTGCGTCTCTCTTTTTTTTTTTTTTTTACGGTAAGACATGAACATTTATTAAGCATTTACAATGTGTCCGTCTCAGAGCTAGAGATCCTGATCTCATTAGATTCCTCAAAATCCCAGAGAGGGAAAGAGGGTGGCCCTGGTTTCATGATGAGGTTCAGAGAAGTGGTTGAACTTGTTCAAGGCCACACAGCAAGCATGGAACAGCGCAGGGACTCACCCAGGTTTCAGACTCCAGAACCCTGTTCTTTTCACTGCACTACGTGGCCTGAGATGAAAAAGAGGAGACCGAAGGTCTCACAGGGGTGCAGGGGCCGAGTTCCTGCAGAGCTGGAGGGACTGCAGCATGACGAGACCTTGTCGAGAGTACTGGCCTCTCTGCCTCTCTCCCGTGCGCACGCACATCCCGTCTCTGCCGTAAAAGGAAATAAAACTGTGTCTTAGCTCCTGAGCAGACAGAGCAGGCGGAAGGAATGGAGTTATTTAGGCTCAGCAAGCTTGCTTCAGAACATCAGAGCCAGGTTCTTGCCCAGGTTCTGCCCAGTTTCTACGTCCTTCAGTCCTTGATGCTTTGGAAAAATAAAGTGGGTGCTCTGGTCGCTACCCAGTACAAGCCTGGCCCACTGGGCTCTCCCCAGCTACCCTTCCCCAGGACCCCCCCCAGCTCCCCAGCCTGCA